TATATTCTAAGATTATAAGTTGATGGATGACATGCAAGTACTGATAGTATCCAACATGTGTGAAATCCATAAATTTGATCAAATGATGAATGGATTACATCAAAAGAATTTGTTGATCATAAATAAGAATAAAAAACACTACTATACTCTGTGCCAATGTACACTCATTTATCTTCATAAAGAATATTTTAAGTTTTGCTCTGGGCTGGGATGAACCATGCTTGTGGTGGAGGCAGGGAAGCTGAGCCGGAGCCATGGCCAGTAAAGTGGTAGCAGCTGGACTGACCATTGCTGCTGCTAGATTTGCAGGCCTTCAGTGGTGGCTATTACAGAGGTGGATTTGAACCCAAATTGACAAAATGGGAAGCAGCATTAATATTAGGTGTAAGCCCAATTAAATGTATGATTTTAAGTTCCTATTAGTTTACATATATGAGTATCAATTTTTTATAATAAAATGCCTCAAAGCTGCAGTTTTTAAAAATGACTTAACACAAGCTAAGTCAATCTTGGTATAAGTTTGATTAAATTTGAGGGTTTAAATGAACTAAGATTAGTTTAGAATATTTAGCAATTCTTAGTAACTATAGACAAATGCTTATTATTTGAATAGACATATTGCTCATTAAGTGAATAATTTGGTACCCGTGTATACTTTGTAAAGGCAGAGTGAAGACAACCCTAGCTCTCAAGGAGCCTGTAGGCTAGTGGGAGACTGATAAACTAGTAACTAAAATATGTAATAAATGTTATGATGGCATTAGCATAAGACTTACTGGAAGGAAAAGTAGTTCAAAGTATAGACAACAGGAGCAGCTACTTGGAACATTGTATTTAATGGTGAATTTAGCCATGAATGTGACTTAAAAAATTCTTATCTCATACATTAAAAACTAATTTGTATGATGAAGAGTTGAGAGTATAGGCCCTGTTTTTAAGGAAAGTTTTACTTTGTATTCAGCTAGCCTCTTAAAGATAATTGCCATTCATAAGTTATTTCTTTAGTTGGTTTTAGTCATAAACATGCCAGGTGCATATGCACATATGCCCAAAATCCCAACAGGATGTAGAAGTATAAAAGAGACTGCGGCATGACCACACTCCACTGGGATGTGCTTTTCATCTCTGGCAAGTGTATGTGCCCTCTGACACTCCCCCCCAAAAAAACCTAAACAAACAAACAAAAACACCCAGAAATCCTAAGATAAACTAGCTTGAATCTGTGTTCCCCAACAGAAATATCAGTACTGTGTAGCTCTAAGGTGATAAATTATACTACCTAAATATTCTTAAATCATCTTCTAGTTTTCAACTACAGAGAACGTAAGGGGCTTTTGAGGTAAAAATAGTAGAGATAACCATGTTTACTGCCAGAATGCATTTAGGGGCATTTTAAAGTAAGGTATATCTGTTTTGTCTTTTCTATCTCTGTGTCCTTGTTTAAAATGTGAGGAAGGATGGATGTTTAGAGTACAGCAATGCATAAGCTTCTAAGGAGTTGTGCATATATTTTATTAGTTATGTCCAGGAGCTACTGAGCACAATACTGAGTATCTTGTTATTCAAAGTAGCCATGTCACATAAAGTTGTTGTGAACATTAAAATAGCAAATAGCTAACCATGTTCCTGGGGAGGCAGAAGTTCCTGAGAGTCTCTGGTAGTCAACTGATTAAAACTTTGTTTTATATGTGTCTGCTTAAATACATCTTACTTAATATAATCAGGGACTTCAAAAAACTTCATGGAACTATGGAAATAAAGTATACATTTTATTTTGGTGTAAAAATATTTAACTGCCCCCCCAAAAAAAGAATATTTCAAGTTTTAAGATGAAGTGAAGGTATTTCTGCATACTTCCCTCTAAAATTACCCTCAAACTATATAAAGAATAAGAAACAAAAACATAAATTCCATCTTCCATGAATTAATGAAGTACCTTGCAACCCTGAAGCAAAACATATGAGGTCAAAAAGTAGATGGAGGAAAGGTCAGTGTTTTAGCTCTGAAACTGGACAGGAAGTTCTGAGGAATGTGGGACCAAGTGCTAAAAAAGAAATAGTAGGACATAGTAAATTCCAAGCAACCATAAAAGCTATGTAACTCTTTCCATTAAGAAGCAGAGCATTTCAGCACTCTTGGAACATAGGCTAGTTTTGGAACTTATGCTGATGAACTGTAAGTGTCTGAGCCTCTGGAGAGAGACCCTGCAGCTTCCACACTCACCCTCTTAAATGTTGTCCTGAGAATACCAAGTGGAAAAGACCAAGCTATCCTACTGAAGAGGAAATACTACTTGTGACATAGACAAAGTCATTCTGAGGCCCCCTAATCCAACCTAACCAGACTAACAAACTCTTAGAATTATGAGAAGTCATTAAATCATCACTGTTTTAAACCATTAAGTTTTAGAGTCTTCTGCTCTAGACATGAGTAAGACCAATAAACAAAATCTCCTTATAAAGAAAGAAGCAATCTAAGAAGTCCAATATCTGATTAACAGAAGTTCCATGGAGTCTATTTTTTTAAGTGAAAATAATGAAGAAATTGTCAAAGAAATATAAAAGAAAAATTTTCCAAATCAAAGAACATAAGTTTACAGAATCAAAGGGCCAAAAGAGTGCACAGCACAATGAAGGGAGAGGGTAAAGACCTATATCAAGACAAAATTTCAGATTATCATGGATATAAACAGAAAAAAATTAAATCTCCGAGGAGACAGAGATATGAGACAGGTACATGAATAATAATATTAGACTTAGCAACATTACAAGACAGGAGAAAATAAAGAAATGCCATTAAAATGCCAAGGGGAAAGAATATTTATAGCTTAAAAGACTATGCCCAGTCAAATAGATATCAAGAGTGAAGACGGAATCAAAATATTCTTAGACTTTCAAAATCTTAAATCATCTATTCCCATGCTCCCCTTCTCAGAAAGCTACTATAAGGTAACTGGGTTGTCAGAAGAGTCCTGGTGTTCGGACCAGCAGTTGGTGTGATGGCTATGTCGCTGGACTCCCATGTGGTCGACCACGATGGGAGTCCTGGACCAAGTGGCTTAAACTCACCCTGGGTGCAAGTGCATATGCGTGCCTAAGATCCTGAGAGGAGAATGGAGGAGAAGAGATTGTGGCTATTGCCCAAGGGAGTGATTTCTCACTTTCTGTCTCTCTTTCTGGCCAGCGAGCGCACGCACCCTATAGCAAAAAACCTTTGGGGGGAGGGGGGATTAGAGTCCCGAATGCATTTTTGTGTAGAAAAAAATACATCGTGACTCTTCCAACAACCCAGTATTTCCTACCAACTTGAGAGAATACATCAAGAAAAAAAAATGACATCAAGGAAAAAATGAAAAATATGAAAGAAATTACAGCATTCCTATGAGGACAGTCGGATGGCACAGCAGGTCCTTAGTACGCCAGGACAGAAAGAGCACACTGAAAGGCTCCATAAAGGATATTTTCAGGAAAAAAAATTACAAAAAGTGTCTGTAGGTATCTAAAAATTTCTTTTAAAAGTGGTTTGGAAAACTGCTAGAGAGTGAGAACAACTAGCCAAAATTAAAAACAAACAAACAAACAAACAAAAACAAAAAAAAACCAGCTGAACAAATAAAAGCATGAAGCAATTAACTCTAATAAAAACAAACAAAAAAAGATATCCCAGAATATATTGTACTCTTTAATAGGAAACATACCTATACTTCTTAGCTCAATACTAAAAATGTACGTATTCACCATAGTAAAAATATTGAGAATTTAACCAAGGATTGGGATATACTGTTCTGAGAAAAGGAGGAAACAGTCATCCACTTTAAAAGTAAGTTAATAGAAAGTACTTAAAATTGGAGAAGGTAAATGCATTTAAGATTATGGTAACAAAAACTTGAAGAATCATCAAAGATTTTCCAATTTTCTCTGAGAACAGAGACTGCAGAGGTTGATGGTAAGAAAGATAGGGATACATCATTTTTACTACAGGTGTTTTTTTGTACACATTGAAAGTCATAAGTGTTACATGTCATGTATATCTCATCTTTATGGAAGTTCAGTGATCTTACATAAATCGATAGATTTCTCATTTACAGTAACCAACGCCTTATCATTCAATTTATGGTTGAAATGCAGTCCCTATATGCCATCCATAGGAATAATAAGCTTTCCCATAGACCCTACCACCACCTAAAGTCTGAGTTTCTAATAATGCTCTATTTTCATTTTGTTGTAATCAAGACAGTCTCATCTTTCATAAATTCTAAAATTAATTCAACTTATCTAAAAATTTCTTGTCTCTGACTTTTACTTTCCCTTTTTGGTATGTTTATAAGAACCAAGGAGAAAACACAGCACCAGCCCTGTGGCCTAGTGGTGAAGGAAGCTGGATCCCATATGACCAACCACGGTTTGAATCCTAGCCCAGGTGGTTTGAGAGGCTGGGCCCATGTGCATGTAAGCCCCACATCCAGAGAGGATAGAGAAAAAGAGAGAAAAAGAGAGCAGCATGACCACACCCCATGAAGGAGGGGCTTCTCCTTCTCTCTTCCCCTCTCCCTCTCTCTCTAGACTCCTCATACCCAATGGCAATTAAAGACAAAACAAAATAAAAACAAAAACAAAAAAAAACACACAGCTTGCTGGGCACATTAAAATAGGTTTCAAAAGCAACTGTTTTGCAGCAATATGCAATTCCTTCTCTAAATCTCCTGACAGTTATGAAAAACTATACACCAGCAATCCTCTCTTCACATTACAACAGAACAAAAAACAAAATTACCCACCAGGACAACTATACTCGGTACAATGACATCAGAGTTCAAAACAAAACAAAACAAAACACCACCACCTCACTAGGCAAGACTGAAATACTGAAACGTTACCCAGCACCTAACTAGGACAGAAAAAACAACATCAGTTAAAATTAAGCCCACACAGAGCAATTCCACCTCCTTTGCTTGCTGGCTTTTAACAAACCGAAAGCGAGCCAGGTGAATGAACCTATACCTTGAAGGTGACAAGGAACGTCGTATTCGATCTCATCATGCCTTGACGGGCTTAAGAACAGCGTTCCGTCCACCAGTGGGAACTGTTCGAACACCGGGAGCGCCCGGTGGCACAGGGCACAGTTTACCACATTCCTGTGGCTGGCACTGAGTGCTGCAAGGATGAACTTGCGCAGATCCTCCCCCTGGCCCACTTGGGCATCATCTTCCATGCGCACGTGGAAAGTGTTCAGCTTATGCCTGGGGATGTGCGTGAGGAGCTCAGAGAGGTCCAGCCGCCGCAGGAACTGCACAGGAGCGTCAAAGTGCCCCGCCCTGTGGACCGACAACCCTGCCGGGCTGTAGTCAAAGTGCGCATTTCTGAACACGTGGCCCCCGGCCAGGGTCTTTTTGTGAGGCTCCAGGTGGATGGCGTTCTTTAAGAATTCCCCAAGGTATCTGGAGGAGCGGGGGCCACTGAAGTGGGCAGGGGAGAGGATGGAGTAGCCGCCTGGTGGGGACTGGCCGGGGGAGCCACAAGGGGAGCGGACGCCGTAGGGCGCTGTGCTGCCGGCTTTCTCCTGCGAGTTCTGTCTGTCCACAGAGTGCCGGCGGGGGAGGTCGTGGTTCAGGCCTTTCTGGGGTTTGTTAGAGGGCCTGCATTTCTTTGCCTCCTCCACAGCCTCACCCGGAGGCCTCCCAGTGTTCTTCTCTGACCCCGACTTCTTTTTCTTCTCGTCCTGCATCCGCTTTACCGGGTACCAGTCCGTGTCCTTCTTGAGGTGGCCCTGCCCGCAGCGGCAGGAGCAGAAGCGGAAGGCCAGATCGTAGCCCTTCTTGGTCCACATGTTCTGGCGACACTGCTTCTCGTTCCAGCTGCGGGCCCGGCCGATGCAGTTAAACTGCACCAGGATGCTGCTCTCCCACTCGTAGAAACACTGCAGGTGCATCCAGGTGCTGCAGGGGCAGTGCTCGTTGTTGCACACCACCTTCTGGTAGTCGTCCTTCTCCAGGTCCACAGGCCTCCCGAAGCTGCAGATCAGGGGCGTGGCACAGGGGGCTTCTGGGGGAGGAACAGAGGACAGGGATTCAGTGCACTGGACATCATTCACAGGGCAGAGCCACCATGCACATTCGTCATTCATGTCCAAAGGACACTTCTTGGTGTCAAGATTTCCACCACTGGCATAAAACATCAGACAGGATTAGAAAAAGTTTACCATTTTCTTCTGGTATGATGCTGTGACAAGAGAATTTATTTTCTGATATGTTTTATCTGCTGAAAAACATACCACTGAGCTTCAGAAAGTCCAAATCCTTTACAGTGTAATCAGCTGTGTGTCAGTACTTGCAAGAGTGTGGTAGAGGTTTTCCTAAGACAAGAGGGTGGAATGACAGACAGTTCCAGGGCTTCTTTAAAAGCAAGCCACTCTGGCAACTAGGAAATAAAATGAAGCTTCTTAACCAGTTCTGGTGATATTTCCAAAAGGGCCCTCTATGTCCCTAGGCTTAGGTTATCCTGAATACCACAGAGAAGCTATTCCCAATTCTCTTCTAGGGTGCTCTGGTACCTAACAGCAGGGGATTTTGGTCAAACTATTTTTGGTCTACACAGAATAGCACTGCTAGGTTGTGAAGGGGAAAAAAACAGAAATCTCCCAAATCTATTGGACAGGACACAGAATGAGGTAGTTGTACCCTCTCTTAAACACAGGTCCCCCATACAGAGTCCAGACAGGCGGGTTCCCAGAAAGGAAAACAGAACCACACAAAATAAAACCGACTTCTTAAGAAGTAAACATGAGGGCCAGCAGGTGGTGTGGTGGTTAAGGCAGCTGAATCCCACATGGCCAACTCCACAGTTTGAGCCCTGGACCCAGCAACTTGAAAATCATGCTGGGCATGTGTGCATGCTTGCCCAAAATCCCTAGAGGAGAATAGAAGACACAGGATTGCATCCTCTCAAGGGGTGTTCTCTCTCTCTCTCTCTCTCTCTCTCTCTCTCTGGCAAGCACATATGCTCTATAGCAAATACTAAAAAACAAAACAAAAAAGAAACATGATTCATGGATATTGGAACTCCACAAGATTCCTTATAACTTTTCAATAAAAAAACTGAGTATCTGAGCTTAGAATGTACACTTTAAAAATGTCAAGAAGACATGTGACAGGGTCAGTTCTATGGTAAGCAATAACTCACTGCTGAAGGAAGCTAGATCCCACATGGCAACAGTATTTGAATCCCAAGCCCAGTCAGCCTGAAACACACCAGGGATGTGTCTGAGTACCAGACTCTAACCAGCTGGAGGGCTAGAGGAAAGGGATTGCTGTGTGACCATTCCCAGTGGAGGGCTGCTCCCTCTCCTGCATGCACACACTCCATCATGAATAAAAAGGGGGGATGCTAGTGATTACTAGGGACTGGGGAAGGGAGAGGGATGAATAGGTGGATGATAGAAGGCAGTAAATCAATTCTGCATGATATTATGATATGAATACGTGTCATAATACATTTGTCAAAATCCATAGGCTGTACAGCACCAAGAGAAACCTAATGTAAACTACTGACTTGAGTGATAATGCTGTGTCAACACAGGTTCAACCACTGTAACAGAAGTACCAGTCTGTGAAGGATGTTGATGGTGAGGGAGGATGGGGGGTAGGAGGTATGTGGAACTCTCTATACACCCAATTTTGCTGTGAACCTAAGACTGCTCTAAATAATAAAAACCTCTTTTTTTATGAGGAAAAAAAAAAGATCCGTGTAAGTCCTAGTCCCATGGAACACTAGCTATGTAGAAGTAGACTGGTTACTTCATCTGTTTAATCCTTGATTTCATCAGACATAAATGAGCACAATTATATCTACTTCATAGAGATCTTTGTTAGGACAAGTAAGAAATGCATATACAGAGCTCAGCACAGAACCTGGCACACAGGGCTGGCTAGAACAAGTGTTGTCACTCTTGTCATTACCTGACCCTTCATGATGCAGCCCTGGGGCATTTTTATTTTTAAGACAGTTGTGTAATGAGGTGGCTGGACGGGGGTGGTCTAAGCCAGAGATGGCCAAACTGACCAAAGGTGGGGTCAACCTGAGAAGCTGGGATTCTGACAGTGCAGGACCCAGGCAAGAGACTTCATGCCCCAGGTCCACACTAGTGGCTGTCAGTCCTGTGCAGAGGGCGCTGAGTGTGACTTACAGGCACCACACAGCTCAAAGCGAACAGCCTTCTCCACTTGGTGTCTTTGTATTTCTACAATTTTCAACACAATTCATTACTCCCTTTAAATTCCTCCATATTTCTGTGCTGTTTTATTATCATCCTGTTTTTCTGTCTACTATTTCCAAAATGAGTATCCCCCAAAACTAGTGCTCAGCATTTTTCCCTTCACTTGTCCAAGCAGAAATTAAAGATTAATTTTCCAATTCTAAATAAAGACGTTACTAGCAGTTGGACAATCACTGTGGGATGGGGCTGTCCAGTGCATTAGAGAAGTTAGCATCACTGAAATCTAAGCACTAAGTATCTCTAACCCCCCGATTAGGACCACTGAAGACCTGACCAGATTTCACAATCCTGCCTCCCAGATCCAGCCAGATTACAACACCCTATTTATTCTTTCTCCATCTTTCTCTTTTAATTTTTTTTTAAACTTCTTAGCTCTCTGATGCTCTTTTATCTTGGTAATATCTGAGTTCTGAATGGTTTCTATTTTTTGGTTTAAATTTTTTTCTTTTTTTTCTATTGTTTTTGTCTTTTTGTTTGTTTGATTTTCCTTTTCCTTTTACATTTCTCACTTTTTTGCTCAGCCTACACTCACTGAGTTTTTAGACAGGTCTAGGTGAACAGTAGCCGAATAATCCAAATACTTTTAGGGTCAGATTAATCCTCAATTTCCATGGAATCTGCTGCACAAAGGGAGAACAACAGTACTGCTTAGAGAATGCAGATCACTTCCTCTGCATGCCTCTGAATGTTCAGACTTAACTCCAAAAACTATGAAAAAATGTATAATCCATTAGGTGACCAGAAACCACTGCAGAGGCACAAGAAATATGAGAAACTAAGTAAATCTCTCTCGCCTAAGGGAAAAGAATAACTCCTCATCCTCCACAGACAATACAAGGGAATGCATGGAAATGTCAGATAAAGAATTTAAAATGTTCATAGTGACAAAGCTAAAGAGATGCAAAAGAAGAGAGACAACTAACTCCAGAAAATGCAGGCATAAAAAGACCAACGAACAAGTTCCAGGATGTGAGGAAGTTCTTGCACAATCTGAAAGAGGAAATACACACCATAAAAAAGAATCGGGACCAGCAGTTAGTGTAATGGCTATGTCACTGGACTCCCACGTAGTCGACCACGGTTCGAGTCCCGGACCCGGTGGCTTAAACTCACGCCGGGTG